AATTTAATCTTATAATTCTTTAAAGGCATAGAATTTCAAATATCGCTTATTAAAAATCGCTTATCAAATTTACTCGATAGCTCTAATTAAAAAAAAATATATAAATTTAATTTATAGGTCTTTACTCGTAATGTAATAAAGAAATATATATATTAGATTCTTAGCTTTCTTTAAATAGTCGAGTAAACCTCGATATTTAAACTTCTATCGATATCTAATAAATTAAAAAATTATAATCATAATTTTTATAATTACGAAAATTTTAACTACTAAGAATTATCTTATCTATAATAGACTTTTCATTTAATTAATTCGTATCTCGAAGATTCTTTATTATACTTATTTTATTTCTTCTTTTTTTATTAACTCTTTATATAATTATTATAGAATCGATTAATTTTAAACTTAAATTAAGATTAAATTAATATCTAATAATTCTATTATACTTTTTAAATTTTAATTTTAATATATAGAGTTTCTAAAATACTATAATCTCTAAGACGAAGTTTAGAATTTTAAAATTTTCTCGTAAATATTAGAATTAATATAGATACGATATTAGTATAAATGAAATAGAATAAAATAATAAGACTATTAAATTATATATATAGAAAGAAGATATAATATAATAGAAGATATCTTCGTTAAGATTCGCTAGCTATAGAGCTAAGTAATATATTAAGAATACGCTCGTAATAGTAAATTCGCGAAAATTCGCGTTTTTAAACGCGTAATTATTAAAACTTCTTATTAAATTAATATATATAAAAGAATAAGATAGAGCTAAGCTTAAAAATCTTAAATTTATATATATAGTTAATTATAAATTTAGAATTACTACGCTCTTTAATTAGATCGACTAAGTTATCGCGAGTAAATAAATTAATATTCGTAATTAATAAAAAAATGTAATCGGATAGCTCTAATTAAAAAATAGATATATATTACTTAATTTTAGAATAACTTTTTTATTTTCTATTAAAATTTTAAGATTTTCTTTTTAAATTATAGAACGAAATACGGAGGTCTGCACCGAAAGTCCTGCACCCGCACTAGTGCAGCCCTAACCCTACTTTCGGAAAGCGGCCCTGTAGAGGGGAAGCCTAGAAATATCTTCTCACAGCGCATGGATGGGACTTTAGGTACTTCTCTTGGCTTGATAGGGGCATTAAGCCCCGAAACCTGACTAGGGCTAGGTGCGATTCCGAAGAACTCCAGGCGTATTGTCCAGGTAACCCTTTAGGTGGGGCGTTATCCGAAGTCTGAGCGCAAGAGTCTTGGCGGGTGCAGGACTTTCGGTGCAGACCTCTGTACGGGCTTTTAGATAAAAAAATAATTTCTAAATTTAGTCTTATAATTATTAAAGCGCAAGGAATTCAAATATCGCTTATCAAAGTTCGCTCGACAGCCGAATAGCCCGCTTATCAAAGTTCGCTTATTAAAGATTACTTATCTATTTACTCGATAGCCTTAATTAAAAAAAAAATTATAAATTTAATTTATAGGCCTTTACTCGTAATTTATATATATTTATTAATTTTAAAATATTTATATATAAATCTTATTATATATAATTAATCTCTAAAAAAGTCTTAGTAAAATTTATATTATATTATATAATTACGAGTAAAGATCTATAAATTAAATTCATAACCGGTTTTTTTAATTAGGGCTATCGAGTAAATTTGATAAGCGATCTTTGATAAGCGATCTTTAGTGAGCGATATTTGAATTCCTTGTCTTTAAATATCTATAAGACTAAATTTAGTAATTCCTTTTTTATCTGAAAGCCCATATTACGTTCTATAATTTAAAAAAAAATCTCAAAATTTTAATAGAAAATAAAAGAGTTATTTTAAAATCAAATAATGTACACCTGTTTTTTAATCAGGGCTGTCGAGCGGACTTTGGTGAGCGAACTTTGGTGAGCGATATTTGAATTCCTTGCGCTTTAATAATTATAAGACTAAATTTCAAAATTCTTAAAAATTCGGAAAGCCCATATTCCGGTCTACAATTTAAAAAAAAAATCTCAAAAACTTAATAGAAAACAAAAAAGTTATTCTATGTGTTAATAACGTACACCTATTTTTTTTAATAGTTGCGGACGCTAATTTGTTTACCCGTAGTGTCTAACCAAAAAGCGTAGACCTAACGAATTGATAATTGGCTGCACATACAAATTCAAGGTTTTCTAGTTCAGCCCTACCTTATTCTTTTATATATACTAATTAATAAATACTTTTTTAAAAAGATCGAAGTTTTTAATAACATTAACGTAAATTTTTAAAAATCTAAAGAAATAGAATTTATAAATAAGATCTTAAAAAATAGATTTATAAGTTTTATTATAATCGAATAAATTTTGACGTTGTAATGTGAATTTGAATACGTTGACTGTAGAAATTCTACGCGGGTGCGGATTAATTAAGCGAAAACTCTGTTGTATTCTTCCTCCCCCCTTTCAATAAAACATCAACGATAATCAGGACTGTTATATTGCTACTAACGCCTTGCTCCTAATTTTCAATTTGACTCAAAGAGGGAGCAAGCAGAGCAGAGACATGTCGTTGATGCAGCTAAAGTACCTGAATACCTGGATGCAGTTGCCACTGTCTCTGTGCTGATTTCCTGCTGCAACTCAGCTGTTGATACAATTCCCATCCCCACTCTCCATTGCGCCTCATAGTTTGCATCCCGGACTATGGCTTTGAGCCAACTCGTTGAGCGGGATTTGTGTATGACGTTCTATTCGTCGTCCTCTTTTCCCTTCTTGCCCTTCTTCTTGCCGACATGGGATGCCTGGCCTTCCTTCTTCTGATGAACGATCAGCCTTGTCCACGACTCTTCTTTGTCCCATTCGAAGCCCGCAAGGACAGGGAGTTCCATCTCGTCGTCGGCCTGCACGGTCAAGATCATCAGCGTCATAATCTCCTCAATTGATTCGTACAAAGAAGCAGAATGTAATCATACCTTCTTCTTGAACTGCTTGTGGATTGCGTCTAATGCATCCTTGATGGTCACACCCTTCAGGTTCCGCGCAGTGACCTCAAGCCCTAACGGGAAGTGGAGATCGATCTTCTTGACCGGAGGTTCGGTAAGGAACTTCTTGAGAACCTCTTTCTCATCCAGCGTTGCTGGTGATGTGTTGAGCCGCCTGATCCGGAATGTCAGCATCTATTCGTGCAATCCACACGATGACAATGACAATGACGGTGACGGGGTTACGGCGTCAGGTCTTTCTCTTGGGTGTTGACATGGCTTACCAGTTCAGCTTCTGCGTCTCCTTTGCTATTAGCAGCTCCTTGCCTTCCTTTTCTATCCATACGTCAGCCGCACATTCATTGCTACTATTCCAAGAACAGCTTCCTCTGCTTGACTTACCCAAGTCAGCAATGTTGTACACTCCAGCTGCACTCGAGCTCGCTCTCCGGTGTCCCTTTACTGGTGCCTTATCGTCAGGAGGAGATGATGACAAGCCAGAGATGGCCGAGTCGACCTTGGTAAGGTCCGAGGGTGCTGCATCGACTGACATGTTGGTTGATGGGAGTGAAGCACGAGTTGAATGTTTCTCTGATGGATGAGATTCGATTGAAGACTTGCAGATGCTGGACCTAGTTGATGGATGAGAGAAGACGATCCGGTACGGGACAGTGGTAGGGAGGGAGGCATAGAAGTTGGAGCGGGGTTTGTCTCGTGATCACGATCGAAGGGGTTCGCGCGCTAGTGACCCCACATTTCGCCTACTTTAGGGTTTCCGGGGAAAGCTCTGACAGCCTCTGACTTATCGGAGGAGGATTTACATCACTGAAAATTTGAGGATTCAACAAGTCAGTGAGATATCTTGTTCTGCTGACAATTGTCAATCCTGGTCGGTGTGAAGATATTCGCCTGGATGGTCTTCATGGCGGCTTCTCCACGACCGCAAGCCCAGCAGCTCTTACGTGCATCATTCAATATTCCTGTACGACTTCGGAATCCAATGCAAAGTCCTGTCTGAGTAGCGCCTCTGCACCTCACGAAGTCGAGTTTCTTGCATTTCTCAATCCATTCCCGTCGGTACAGTTGCGGCAGTCGACGCAGTCGGTGCAATTGGTACAGTTCCTACACCCGGAACAATTTGTACAATTGGTGCAATTGCGACAGTTGTAGCAGTTTGTACAATTTGTGCAGTTCCGATTGCCATCGCCAGTAGTGTTGGTGCAATTGCGGTTGCCCTCGCCGGAGGAATCTCCGCTACTCGCAGAACTCATCCATCTGCCGAAAGGCCATAGAAGAGACGCTGATGTGGTTGAAAACGCGGAGGAAAGAGGTTGGTAGGCGAGGATCTATAAAAGTAAGCCAAGGTCTATCTATGATCGATGATGGGAATGCATACTGGTCTACAAGCCGCAAGGCGCACAGCGCTGGGGGATAGTCTGCTTGGAGGAAGGAGCCAACGACTGCCCAAGGGCTTGTGGGTACCAGCAAGAGCAAGCATGATGTATAGCAATCAGCAGCAACGGTTGTTGCGCATTTCGAAGGTAGAGGAGTGGAAAGTCATAGCAGCCCGTACCGCACCTCGCAGGCTGCGCAGCTGAAGGTCTGCCCCCCGCTCAACTCGAGGCTCGCCTGCCGCTTTAGCGAGCGCGCTCGGTAACCAGGGGTGCAGGGGTGATGCGCGCTCTTCATTCACCCACCCACTCCAATCCCCCATGGTTGAACGGATGGAACTACGGGCGCTCTCGCGCAGCCTAAATATATAGCATCTCCAAAGAGGGTTGCCGAGGGACGAAACAAAGAATGGGGGGCGGCCAGGATCTATTCATTTCCCATAGGCCGCCAGGTATCCAACTTCCATATCAGAGTTGTGTAAGAGCCTGCCAGGTCAGACAAGCTTTCGCATTGGGAAACAAAAGATATGAATTTGGTAAGTCATGGAGCCTAGATGTATAGAATCGATATTCCTTATAGAACCGATACTTTAGCGTTACGCGTTCGCAGTCTTAGCTTGAATGGTACTACGTATCGATGTGCCCTTCCACTGACTTGCCTACTAAACGTAGCTCTTCCCCACTCAAGTGCTCCTCCATCTCCAGATCGCCATCCCGGTCTGGCCCCGCTTTGTATTTCTGCGTCCTTTTCGCTGACCCTCGACCATAATTTTCCTTCAAAACAAGCATTTCATGTCCGTCGTCCCAGCCATAGGAATATGCCCTCAGGTCCTTTGCCTCGAACTTTGCCTCCTTGTCTTTCTTCAAATCTCTAAAGAAGGCTACCTGCCAGTCCACCAAGTCACTAGGCGTGCCTTTGATCTTTTCGTATATGTTTTTGTTTCTCCTCAGTGCCAACAAGGTCACCAGATCGAGCACACCAAGGATGAGCAGCAGTATGATTTCGATGGCAAGGATAACCCAAACACCAATGTTGGTAGCTGCACGAGAAAGTACGCATCCGGAGACTGAGGCAGTGTGATCGGCATTATCATTGGATCCCCAAGACATACTCATCGCATTCAGATGAGTTTCGAGCACTTGCGTGTATCCAGTAGCATTGCCTTGGGAGATTACCATGATAGCACCAAGGATCAGCGGGCCCCAGTTAGTGAGCACAGCGCTGGCGTTGGTATTCGAGAGGATCAGATCAAGAGTTGTATTACTAATTCGATCTGTCAGTGATGCAAAGGAAAAGGTGCATGGTCCTGGTGTGCGTACCTCGAAGGAATCTGCGGGCTTGCAACCAAATTGCAGTGCAGATCTGTAACCGAGAATTGAGTGGTATCCGAGTCTCCGGACAGATTTGAGATCATGACTGCCTTGACATCCCAAGTAGACCCTAGGCTGGAGCTCAATTCCACCAAGTTCGCGAAAGCATTCAGACCATCCGAGTACCCAGGCTGGATGAGGGCGCCTTGGTCAGCTAGTATTGTGTTCGTATAGAGCAAGTCCCGATCAACCAGCTGGGGGTGCAGCAGTCCCTGATTTGGACGAGTGAGGTTGTTGGTAAAGGCGAGCTTCCCAGCAAGGCTAGGATCTCGGTTGCATTGCCAGCCGCCTAGAATGTCTTCATCCCGAGCGTAGAAGTCCAGATCATTGTTAGCAATCTGCGAGATTCCAATTATAGGCGTTAGACCCACTCGCGGCCGGCTGAAATAGCTGATCATCTGAGAGGAGACAGATATGGTAGAACCGGGCCACAAGGGCGTTGGGTAAAAATAGTCTGGTAACGGCGTCTTCTCTGGCCAAACGACAGCATTTGCCTGACTGACAACCACTCCTTTACCAAAAGGACAGTGCCCAGCCAAAGTGTAGCCAAAGACGAAGTAGCTGACAATGAAGCTGGAAAGTACGCTTATCAACCCAGAAAAGAGCATGACGACGCCAAAGGGGCCGCCAGGGAATCGGCGCGTTCTAAACCAATTCAATGCAGTGGACGTAAGGGACAGCCACGGTGACAAGTGGCTAAGAGGCAAGCCATTATTGTTTACAGCAGCGCCCTTTAGGATGGCTCTTTGATTGATCCTCTTAATGACAAATGACCCAACGAACGGAAGAAGGGTATTGACTATCGTGAAGGCAGTCGTGAAGTACGTCCGCACGTTTCTGGAGTCCGCGTCAAATAGCAGGGCGCTGCCACTCCAGCAGGTACTTGGGGTCGGGGTATCGACGGTCAAGCAAGAGACCATGTTGATTCAATAGTCGTTACCTGCAGTCTGGGTTTGATACGAACGCGCCTTCGCAGGATCGAGCACGCAGAGTAATCAGAAGAAGCTTCGATCGAAGCTCATGACGATTTATGAAGCAAGGGAGGCATATTAAGAGAGTTCGAGCTGCGAGATTTGACAGCGACATTAGTAGACATGCTCTGCACTCACGTATGGATTCTTCTACGTGTCTGACCAATGACTAGCATGTAAGTATGTAGCGTGTTTGGAGCTGGAAACTAGGCTGGGGTACCCAGGTACCTTAATTTGCATGCGCCGATCCTGTTGGTGATATTACTGCGAGCGAAGAGGTCATTCTGCTCCACATACAATGCGCAGACCTCCTTATGGATGAGCGACAGAGCACCGCTAACCGTGCCCGCGCCGTTGGGAAATATGTCTTTGCTCGTGACTATTGTATCCTGCTTTCTTGCAGCCGAGGCCATTTGTTCTTTGATTTGATCGAGATGGCATTCAGGATCACCCAAGCTCGCGAGACCGTCGCCCGCGCCGCAAGAGCGTAAAGCAGCGCTCACCTTACGCTGGAAGAGGGGTGAGGCCCGAGCAGGATTTCGTTACCTTGGCAGTCTTGGCGGCAAGGAGGGTCTTATAAGTGCAAAGTCCATCGATGAGTAACCATAGCCATCCCATGGATTATTGCCCGAAGACCCCGATTCTCTTCTTAAACGCGGGAATACGGCTGTGCTGTGACGCTCGATGTTCAGCCCGACAACTGAGATTGACAAACTTGGAAGGCCCAAGTCCCTTGATTGGAGTCACTATGCTTGTGTAACTTGGAAAGAGCATCCGAAAGGATCCAAACTGCGTGCACTGGGGTAGACGCGTGGTATATTTGGACGTCAAAGCTTCTATGCAGTGCCCTTGAGCAGATCATTGTATCAGAGGTAGAGCAGTCCTCTGTCGTAATGAAGTCTTAACTGTGGGGGGCGAATGTATCATCTCGCTCCTGACTGAATCATCTTCTCGATATGCTCCCGACTGTTCTTGTGCGTAAGCTCCAGAGAGTGCAGCTTTTTGTTGAGATTCGAGATGTTCGACTTTAGCTCCGCTGTTTCTGATAATAACCGCTTCTCTACGTCGGACGTAGGCATGAACACGAACCTGAAGGAAGGAAGGAAGGAACATTAGCATAGAGTGACTGGAGAGATTGAGAGCACGTCGCACATCTTTCCTACTCCCTGGTAGACTTTTGTGTCCTTTGATAGTTGCTTGACCTCAGTGGAGGTAAGCTCCAGCATCCGGATGTCTCTTTGCTTGGCTGCTACGGCCGTCTTGACAATGTTGATGTCTCGCTGTGCTGAGAGAGCTTGGGATTCGATTTCTTGAACAAGCTGCGTCAACATCAGCTGGGCCAGGGAGAAATAGTGAAAGGATATGGTGAACCTTCTGTAGAGCTTGATTGGGGATTGACATCTTGTACGACCAATACCGGCCGAATCAGGACAAAGTAGACTCGAAATGGCCGGAGACCTTGGTGAACTGCTTATTTTTTGGAGGAAATCTCAATTGGCGTCTCACTGACCGAGGATCTGAGTTGCACATATGTTTGGTTAGAGGATCGGCAAGCGCCGGGTATGCCCTTAGCGTACCATTCGGCATCTACCTTAAATAATAAGTACCGTAATATTTTGGCAGCGTGGTCATTTGTCAACATCTAAAATCTACGTTGTTGTCGCATCAGCAGCTAAGGCGTTCAAGATGTCTTCCTGGCTCCCATCCATCGCATATGGTAACCCAGCTGGTGGCTATTGGGACCCAGTCACCTCCACCATCAATTGGTGCGAAGAAGTCTGCAAACTCCACCAAAATAATTCCATTGGCCCCACTGACAGCTCCACAAGGACTACTACGCGACCCCATATGCCGCCGAGATAGTTAACACCCTCACGAACCTCCTCTTTGTCTACCTTGCCTATCGGGGTATTCAATCCTGCCGCAACCATGGCCATGACACCATCTTTCTTGTCAGCTTCATTGGCTATCTACTCGTCGGGACCGGCAGCTTCCTCTTTCACGCAACGCTCAAATATCCCATGCAGCTCGTCGACGAGCTCTCTATGATATACACCACCTGCCTCATGTGTTACGCCACCTTCTCATACTCGCGCTCCCGCCTCTTCTCGCTCTGCTTGGCGCTCTTCCTACTCTCGCTCGCCATCTTCATCACGCTCTATTACCACTACCTTCAAGATCCCGCCTTCCACCAGAATGCCTACGCAATACTCACCGCTGTCGTCCTTACGCGCAGCATGTATGTAATGGAATTGAACTTGCGGCCGAGGTTGAAGCAGAGTGAGAGCGAGTACAAGTTGTTGCACAAAAGGAGTATGACAGCCGATGAGAAGCTAGTCAGTCAAGGGGAAGACAGGAGGGATAGAAAGATCCTGGGCACGATGTGGCTCATGATTGGTTTTGGTCTTACGACATTCCTTGGGGGTTTCTTCATCTGGAGTTTGGATAATGTGTATTGCTCGAAGCTGAGGTCGTGGCGAAGGCAGATTGGGCTGCCGTGGGGCGTCCTTTTGGAGGGTCATGGGTGGTGGTACGTATCAGCACTGATTTGCTGAATAGAGCAGTTTGCTAACGCATGAAATGTAGGCACCTTATGACCGGCACCGGTGCCTACTTCTACATCACTTGGGGTATCTGGCTGAGGCATTGCTTGAACGGACGGCAGGATGAGTACGACTTGTCGTGGCCGAGGTTTTGGTCACTGCCAGAAGTTGTTCAGACGAAGAGCGCGAATGGCAGTGCTCGACATGATCTTTCCAAGAAAAAAAGTTGACGAAATTTGGATTATAGCAGATAGACATAGACCATCGTAATCCCAAGCGGTTGTTCCAGAAAAGTGTGGAACCAGGTGAGTGTGTAAACCTAAGACTGGCCTGTAGTCTACATCAAAACTCTTACCGCAGGGTTCCCGTTATCGAGAGAAGATTAGCAGGTCTCTGATTGTCTTGGATGACAGATATCACAACGACGACGCTGAACACCCCGTCAATTAGTGATGGATTCCACGGATAGGTGCTATTGTGTCTATTTCTTGGGCTTCTACGTTGCTGAACGATCAATATCGGATTCTGATCTCATATCCCCAAATTCCACAAGATGCCTCAAGACTTCTCTGCTTTTGGTCATAGGCAGATCATGTCCTGCGCTGCAAATCAAGAAATTCACTTGGGCAGGTCCCAAGATGCTTTTGACATCATCCATGAACTCGTCGGAGATGATGACAGGGTCACTGTCGCCTAAGATGACACATCGTGGCATACTAGACCATTGGCTAATACGCGGCCAAGTCTCACATTGCTCACTGATAGGGCCATAGCGCATAGTCGAAATGTAAGACTTGACAAAGCCATCGTGGTTCTGAACTTGCCATCCCAGTCACACATTTAGAGCCTCAGCCTTCCGTATAGCTTTCGACTTATGACATTGCTTACCACAGCATTCGCGATAGTCACCCCAGGCCGTCTCTTCGAGATGATAGTTTGATCACAATCGACCTGTGAGTCAGGTTGTCCTTCCGATGCAGCCATGTCAAAGTCAGCTGGCCTTGCGTTCGGAACCTCCGTTGGCTGGGCTGTCAACGTTCTTTTGACAGACCACTCCACAACGCTTTCCGGAAAGAGACCTATTGAGTATAGCAGTCGGCTGGACGTGCTGAAATGATGTCTCCGGACAAAACCCGAGACGTCTGTTCGCTGCTCTTGGAGCGGGGAGCGTCAGTTGATGCAGTCGATCACCAATATTTCCAGTAAGAAGAATCGCATTCCTTATGGGATTCATCATGTGTTACAAAGATTCTTACTTGTCCCAAGTACACCTTTTCACAAATTGATGTGGTATCCTCAAACCAACGAGGATTCCAATCTCGAAGTCGGTCGTCTCCTTCCATAGTATGGCGCAGATCTGTCCATAGAAGACCATCAAGGGTGGACAGCATACACAATCGGCACAGCAGATGTGCCTCAAACGACAGCCCACGACTATCTCTTACGCCAAGGTTGCGGTACGGATTTCGATCTTACTCGCTGATTGGAGCATTTGTATGGAATAGAGATCTTAAGGGCAGCGAGTCATCGGTCTTGAACAATGCTGGATATCTGATGTCTGCGTTGAAGGAATTTGTAGCTCGTGCAATAGGCAAGAGCAGCAGTGCACATCTGTTAGATGGCAGCCATGATTCAGGGTTCGAAAAGAGGGTATCTTTACAATCAATAAAAGTGAATATAGACTAAATGGTAACTCACCAGTGTGCGAGTTTGAAAAGACGAGAGCTCTGAAGACTGCCACTTCTTCTGACAACTTGCCTCTTGGGAGATAGAATGCTTGAGATTCTCTCTATGCATGACTCTTTTCATATTCTCGTACAAGGCTCTTCAGAGCTTTTCCGACTTTCTCCTCGGATCACCGCCAATATTCTTCTTCCACTCTTCACTGATTGTGCATTTCGCCTTTCTCTCCTTTGCCTCCCATTCCCGCTTGAAATCTGCTTCCTCGCTCCTCCAACGCTTCAAATCGCTCGCCAGCCATTCTCCGGCGGCAGTAGCACATCTTGCGACGGCTTCCATGGGAACAAGATGCCCCACGTCTTCGAGCACCACTTCTTTGACTCTGTCTGCTTCAGCACCGCCGCTACCTCCTACGCCGGTACCCGTACGCTCCATCTTCTGCTTCCGCAAGTCAGGTGTGGATAAATCAGACTGCCCACCAAAGATGTACAGAGCGCTAGGCCTTAGGCGCGGGAGGTCGTTGAAAACTGCAGGTGGCTCAGGCCGGTAGAATGGGTACGTGTCTGCGGCTCTCAGATCCAGATCAGGATGCGTGGGGCGATTGACAACCAGCTTGCCATTTGCGTCCAAGCCGTCAAAATTCGGACGCAAGAAGGTAAAGACCTCCTGATGCTTGGTAGTAGTCAAGGTCACAGGGTCATCATCGTTTTCTGAGCGGTCGGGGTA